TTGCTATTTTCCATTTTCTTTTCATCAAATAATACAAATTATCTACTGTTTTCATGATTTTGGCGGACTTTTGTGAAGAATTCTTGCTGTTTTCCGAAGATTGATAGGAAATACTTGAGATCTACAAGTGTTTCCTATCACAATCCTCCTCACAAGTTCCACATTTCGTCAAAGTTCATTGGTTTGAGATTTGCCTCCCATCGACTGTGACACTGTAGAACTACCAAGGCTTTGTCTGATTGGAAGTTTTTGGTGCTTATTCCATTTTAAAACGACAAATCCATTTCTTCTTTATTGTTTGGTTCGTCAAATCACGTTCTCAATAACTCCTTTTTTTCATTTTTCTGCTGTTTTGAGAAAGCTTTTTATATATGCTTCTCCTTTAGAAAACTTAATTTTCTAAACCAATATTTCTTAAAACTGTCTTTTACAAAAGTACCAAAAAAATCAAATGAAGCCAAAGTTCTATCGCTCATCCTTGTAGGTTCGTTGGTGTGCTCACCTCCTCAAAAGCCTTAATGATTTTACAAGTTCAAATTATTGCATATTTCTGTTTTTCAGGACTCTAACCATTAGAGCATTAACAATTCTATTATCATGAGAGGAACTCAACGCCCAACTCCAATCTCAGGTCCGTCTTCCTTCCTATTTTTAAATTGACAATCATTTATGATGGTAGAATATGTTAATTAGTATCAGATATCTATCTATTCTCGAAGAAGAAAATTGAACTCAATGATTTTGTTTCACAGTAAATGTTTGATTCTGATAAAATGTTTGTTCCTCGGAACAAAAAAAGAAATCCAGCAGCTATCAATTAGACATTTGAAATGTTGAGCTACAAACATTAATGATAAACATTAGTCGGTTGAAATGTTGACCTATAGAGAGTTGGCTAATGTTTACATTTAATTTGGCTAATGAAATTAGTATTTATTAAAGGGGTGTCAATATTTGACACGACACGAAAATCCGACCCGGACCCGACCCGGAAAATCCAGGTTGGACCCGACCCGATTTCAAAACGGGTCGGGTTCGGATTCCCGGATTCGACCCCTTTGAAAAACGGGTCGGGTCAACCCGGCAACCCGTAGGGTTGGGACCGGGTTTGGATTTCCGACACGTTTACCTACCTGGGTCGGGTTAGGGTCGACCCGTTTGAACCAGGGTCAGTTCCTGGTTCGACCCAAACCCGACCTGTGACCCGAAATTGACATCCCTAATTTATTACATCAACTAGTTCATCCCCGATTGGTCCCCCAATCTAACTATCGAACTGAAAACTTCTATTACTTCTAGTTTATCATCCGATCTGATTTTCACAACATTGCTGTGAAGTGTGAAAGGAACCCCACCGAGCTTAGCTGGATTGATGGGCGAGCATGTTTGGGTAAACCCTAAACCCATATTCAATTCCACTCTCATGCGGTGCGTCCTCTTAAGTTGGTAGAAAATAATTGTGGGTCCTGCAGCTCTGGGTTGGTTGCTGGTAGGCTCGTCGAGGGATTAATTAGGTCTTCAAGCGCCTC